AAAAAAAAAAAAAAAACTGGATCACCAAATCACAACCTGTTCTTAATTCATGATGTGAAACCGGTTACTGATAAAAACTCACTAGTCTACAATCAGGAAAAATTGTTTTGTATTTGGTACTTTTAGATGATCTCTCCGTGTTACTAAAAGACTGTAACCTAAACTGAGTGTGAATTTCTGTCTCGAAGTCGCCCACATATTGGCCGCAGTATTCTTTTCAAGCAGTACTACAATTATGTTTAAAAACTTTTTGACCAATATACACTAATTTTTCACTTATCAATGTGATCATCTAATCTACATCGAAAATATATCGTTGCAAAGTGATAAAACTCTCAAACCTATTTCTAAAAAACGTACCAGATGTAATACACGTGATTAAATTTAAGAAATTGGTGCATAAAATCATTTTGAAAGCAAAAGAAACCTTTCGTTTCACAGGCTGATTTCCGGCTTTTTGTTCAGGAGTATTCAACTGTTTTTTCGGTAAACTGCAACTAGAGATGCAGAATTAGATAATTATAAAGAAGTAATTCATACATAACTTACGTCAGTTTACAAACTTTACGCTAATGCTGGCAAAAAAGATTTTGTTCGTGCAAAAAGTGTACGTAGGCAAAAGAATTTTGTCGTAAGCTGATTTCTTTTTTTCGTTCACTGGAATTTTTTTTATTAATGGAACCTTCCTTGCTAGCTCTAACGACATTATTCTTTCATAATCATGAAGTAATAGAGTAAGTCTGTGCGAGCATCTGAAATCTTAGAAAGAACTATTAACAGGTTTTGTCCTTAAAATAAAATTCAGAAACTAAAAAACTATTTTATAAAAAAGAGGCACAAGCTGCATTGAAAAAACATGGATAAAAATTGGAAAATTCCTTTCTATTAGAAAATTGTAGTTAGAAAAGAGAATAAACTAGTCCCAAAAAATCAACATGAGCATGGACCATTTTTGGCGTCATCATAAAAGGACAATCTACGTACCATAGTTAAATGAATAAGAAACTTTAACTATACTAGCACTCATAAATGTACTTGCTGGACTTAACAAGACCCAGTGACTATCAAAACTGCGGATTTATTGGCGAGTTATTGATATCACAGTCTTATATCAAAAATGTACTACTGCATACTAATTAAAGTATATTTTGTAAAAAAGCCGCGTCTGTAAAGCAAAAAAAAAAAAGCCTTCAGTAAAACCTCGTCAAAATTCAGAGTAAAACTTACTGTACAGCAGGTGTACATTCTTCATTTTCGAAGACACACAATTTGCAGTCTCGTAACCGCCGTTCTATTTCCAAAAATTTATTTACCTTCCTAGGAGTTTTTCTAATTGTCTTCCCTGTCCTTAAATTAAAACTGCGTGAAGAACGGTTAAATATGATACCATCAAACCCTTTAAAAAATTATTATTCCTGAAACAAACTTTTGTTTAACAACCTCCTTGAACGCCTGTTTACGATTTTCTATATAATTCAATAGACATTCCATCTCATTGACCTGCCGAAAATAGTACAATACTAATTCCTTCTCCAACTGGTCTGTACATGATCTAGAAAGAGAAAAGAGAATAAAATTATAAAATGATAAAATCGCAACACCAAACAAAAAAAGATTTTGCTTTCCACTTGTCTGTTACTTCTTCAGCTATCAGCAACTAAAACTGGTTCATTCAACAATGTTTAATAAGCAAGCTAATCTCATTCCTGAATGAGCTTTGCAAAACCATGGCGAGGGTACAAGAAATGAAAAAGAAATTTGAAAAGTTAGTTGGCTCACAAGGGGCTCCTCCACTAGTACTCAACTTCTAACAATTTACGCCAAATTCCATATGTAAAGTGATTTGAAAATATATAAGAATATATATCAAAATACCAAATTTTGTTCCGGACTTCGACAAACAGCTTTCACATCCTTATTTTTAGTAATTAGAAAAGTGTTAATTCCTGTAACTTCTTTAGACTGTAGTCAGATCATCCAGCAAAAACACAAATGACTGCACTTCAGACATACAGTAAACCCTTTCAAGCTATGTTTTTCTCATTTCTATCAGACAAATTATTTTAATGCACAAATCTGCAGAGAAGAACAAAAAGTTTGGGCCAAAAAGGCTGACACAATTAACTAATACTCATTATGCCAGTGGTAATAAATTTCAATTTCATACAAGTTTCTCCTAAAAATAAAATCTGTAAAGTTTTTTCCAGTAATATCTTCTTAGTCGACTTTTGAAATTTAACAACTCCTGTAGGCGAAAACATTGTATACTGAAAAAAGTAGATAACTACATGTTTATAACGAACTTAAAGCTGTCGGAACAAGCGAAAATACGGACTTTTCAAGAGCTTAATTTCAAAAATCTGTACTTATCAACAGGAATGGAGTAAAATAGATTATATTTGTTCAGGCCCTCCTAAATCACGCTTTTCAAACAAATGAATGCTGAACCAGTCTTCGGTCATCATTTAAAAAATATATTGAACAATTAAAGAACGCATAATTTTTGGTGTGGCAAAAAAACGCTCTGTGTGTCTTAAATAACCGTAATGAAAGTTTACTGTAACGAAAGCATGTTAATGCTTCAACAACAGGCAAGTTATATGAATTTTTCCAAAACAATAGTTCCTTATTGACGTCACAAAAAGACAACTGATGACAAATGATTTTACAACTCAGATGCTTAGCAAACCAAAACTTTACTAAAATTCTTCACTAATCTTTCAAAAAAACAAATTTGAATTTTATGAACTGAAAAGACCATAACCTTTTCAGTTCAATTAAAGCGAAAGAACAGCGGAACTGATTTCAATAAAAAAAGTTTCAGCAACTTACTTAAAGGTTAACATTTTGGTACCGCACCGGTCTCCCTAAAATAATTAGGTTTTTTAAGGAGAAACTTCCAGATTTTACAATCCCGATCCATAGGCACATATGTGAAAACCAGACAAACGCAACATCGGAAAATTTAGAAGGTATTAAAAATTAT